TGCCTTCCTCCTTCCTTCCTTCCTCCTCCTTCCTTCCATCCTTCCTTCTTCTTTCTTTGCTTCCTTCCTTACTTCCTTCCTTCCTTCCTTCCTTCCTTCCTTCCTTCCTTTCTCTTCCTTCCTTCCTTCCTTCCTTCCTTCCTTCCTTCCTTCCTTCCTTCCTTCCTTCCTTCCTTCATTTCTCTTCCTTCCTTCCTTCCTTCCTTCCTTCCTTCCTTCCTTCCTTTCTTTCTTTCTGTCTTCCCTTCCCTTCCCTTCCCTTCCCTTCCCTTCCCTTCCCTTCCCTTCCCTTCTTCTTTCTCCTGGTACCCTTCAGTCCACAGGCTGACACTCTATCCACTGAGCCAAACCAGCTAGGCCCAGATAAATTAATTTCTTTTTTAAAAAAAAATATATTTTATTGATTTTTTTTTTTTTACAGAGAAGAAGGTAGAGGGATAGAGAGTTAGAAACATCTATGAGAGAGAAACATCGATCAGCTACCTCCTGCAACCAAGGTACATGCCCTTGACCGGAATCAAACCTGGGACTCTTCAGTCTGCAGGCTGATGCTCTATCCACTGAGCCAAACTGGTTAGGGCCCAGATAAATTTCTTATCTCCATTTCATTTATCTCTTCTTCTGGAGAATTCTCTTGTTCTTTCATTTAGGGGTTGTTTCTTTGTCTTCTCATTTTGGCTGCCTGTTTGGGTTTGTGACTATGTATTAGGTAGATCTGCTACACCTCTAAATTACTAGTGCAGGACAGTGTCAAACACTGTTTCTGACTGATTAGACCAGGCAAAGACTAAATTTCTGGAGACAGACTGCCTACAGACTGATAGGGTTCCGTCTTGAATTGCCTTCAAGCAGTTGTCCACAGGTGTGGTGAGAGTTTTTTCCAACTGGGTGGGGCAATTGCTTCTCCCTGGAGGCTAATTGTTATTCTCAGTCTCTTAATGGGCATCGGAACCTCCAGTATGGTGGGGCAAGGTGTTTTCCAATAGGGTGGGTCAGCTGTCTTCCCCTCAGGCAAGGTTGCCTCTATAGAAAATGTCTGTGTGAGAAAGATGACCTCTGCAGTGTGAGGGAATGACTCAGCAAAGGAAACTGGGGTTTCTGCCTTCTAAGCTTTAACCCTACAACCCCCAATCTTGGATTCTGCTCACTCAGCTCCAGTCTACTCTGCCCTCCCTCTGCTGGAGCACAAGGTGGGTGGCTCCACAGGGAATTTTGTGCATTGGTCCTTTAAGAGGGTGCCTGGATTTCCAGCTATCTCTCCCTGCTGACAGGCAGCAATCCTGCTTTTCACAGCCAGATGTTTTGTGGGTACCCTTCTCAGTTCTGGTGCTCTCCGATGGGGGGCCAGCTTGGGGATTAGATCCCAGAGTTCTCAGTGGGAATCCCCCACAGCTGAGATATCTCTCTGGAACTTCAGTTGCTGTCTGTGGGAGCCTGGCCATCCTTTTTGTGCCTCCACCCCTCCTACCAGTCTCTATGTGGTCTCTGCTTTCTGTTCTCAGTTATCAGGGTTCTCTCCAGCGAGTCTTCTGTTGATTATTCAGGAAGTTTTTCTGTATTTTAGTTGTAATTCCAGTTTGGTCCTGGGAGCATGTCCATGCAGCATCCACTTACTCCGCAGCCATTTTTAATCTCTTGGCATTGCTTTTAGTTCAGAGTTTTGTATCTTTCAGCGTCTTGAAATCAAAGGACACTTTTACAACCCTAACGTGCATAAAATTGTGGATTTGTCTGTTGCAAAGGCAAGAAAATGCTCAGAGGTATTGGGACCATTTTAGTTCTTCAGAATAAGTCAGCTCACTCAGGAGGAATCACTTTCCTGCTAAAACTCCTTTATCACCAGGGAATAGTCTTCAGTTTGTGCTGGTGTCCCAGACATCTCTTCAACCTTCCCTAATTTCTCTTTTTCATCGAGAGCAGGCAGATGGGCTTAGAGGGTTGCCTTGCAATGATAACTACCTTGGTTTGAATAATGCTTTTTAGTTTGATTATATCTATTTTTTTAAAATATCTTTTTACTTATTTCAGAGAGGAAGAGAAATATAGGAACATCAATGATGAGAAAGAATCATTGATCAGCTGCCTCCTGCATGCCCCCTACTGGGGATCGAGCCTGCAACCCGGGCATGTGCTCTTGACTGGAATCGAACCCGGGACCCTTAAGTCCACAGGCGACACTCTATCCACTGAGCCAAACCAGCTAGGGCTGATTATATCTATTTTTACAATTTTGTTTATGGCCTGTGTTACTAGTTTTCCACTCAAGACAGCTATAAAAGGTTCCTTCTAAGATAAATGCATTTAAGTTTTTAAAAAAGAGTGTTTACTTGGGAAAAATGTAAAATTATTGACTCATTAAGTTATTAAATACTGGAGTAAGGCTTGAAATTGGCAAAAAGATCACGGTGGAATGTGAATTAAATCGGGAAAGACACTGGTATAAATATTGTTACTGTGAGTCATGAGCTCAACTGGACTTAATACTTTGTTCTCTCCATCTGTCTTCTGTATGTTCACAGGGAACTTGGGTTTTTAGATCAGCTAAGGATCACCCATAACACGGATATATTTATTGGAATGCATGGAGCTGGTCTTACCCATTTACTTTTCCTTCCGGACTGGGCTGCTGTATTTGAACTGTAAGTACTTGGCGCGGTTTTACATTGCTGTGGCTCACGATGTTCTTTATGCATGCTGAGACTTCTGCTCAGCGCACCCAAAGGCTAAGTACTTAATCCTTCCAGGGAGGTCACATCCTATAGGCATCTGGAAAGAAAAAAGACCTAATACGAAAAATGAGAAGGCTGCAGCCTGCCATTTCACTTAGCAAGCAAACCACCTGCTCCTCCCCGTCTCAGCGGAAGATGTGAATCTGTGATTTCTTTTCTTTTTTACTATTTTTTTTTATGTTATAGATGTTCCCCATTTGCCCCCTTTGCTTCCCTCCACCCTGTTGCCCTGTCCCAGGCCTTCACCACATTATTGTCTGTGTCCATGGTTATGCATGTGTGCATATAAGTTCTTTGGTTAATCTTTTCCCGCCCTGCCCCTTCCCTCTGAGAATCGTCAGTCTGTTCCATGCTTCTATGTCTCTGGATCTATTTTGTTCTTCAGTTTATTGTGTTCATTAGACTCCACATGTGAGTGAGATCATGTGATACTCGTTTTTCTCTGGTTGACTTATTTCACTTAGCATAACACTCTCCAGGTCCCTCCATGCTGTCTCAAAGGGTAAGGGATTTTTATGGTTTCATGACTTATATTTAAGTCTTTTATCCATTTTGAGTTTATTCTTGTGTGTGGTGAAAGTTGGTGGTCTAGTTGCATTTTTTTGCATGTATCTGTCCAATTTTCCCAGCACCATTTACTCCATTGTATGCTGTTGCTTCTTTTGCCAAATATATATATTTTTAATTTAAATTCTTTATTGTTTAAAGTATTATATATGGCTCCTCCCCACCCCCCTTGACCTCTCCCCAGCTACTCCCAACCCCCAGCACATGCCCTTATCCCTCTACTATCTGTGTCCATTGGTTTTGCTTATATGCATGCATACAAGTGCTTTGGTTGATCTCTTACACACTCCCCCTCCCCTGTCTTCCCTCTGAGATTCGACAGTCTGTTTGATGCTTCTGTGTCTTTGCATCTATTTTTATTCATTATATTCCACAAATGAGTGAGATCATGTGATATGTATCTTTCTCCGACTGGCTTATTTCACTTAGCATAATGCTCTCTGGGTCCATCCATGCTGTTGCAAATGGTAAGAACTCTTTCTTTTTTACAGCAGCATAGTATTCCATTGTGTAGATGTACCACAGTTTTTTAATCCACTCATCTGCTGATGGCACTTAGGCTGTTTCCAAATCCTAGCTATTGTAAATTATGCTGCTATGAACATAGGGATGCATATATCCTTTCTGATGGGGGTTTCCTGACTTCTTGGGATATATTCCTAGAAATGGGATTTCAGTGGTCTTTTGCCAAATATTAATTGACCATATTGCCATGAGTTGACTTCTGGACTCTGTTCTGTTCCATTGATCTATATGCCTGTTCTTGTGCCAGTACCAGGCTGTTTTGATTACAGTGACTGTGTAGTATAACTGGATATCCTGTATTGTGATCCCTCCTACTTTGTTCTTCTTTCTTAAGATTGCTAAAGCTATTCAGTGTCTTTTGGGTTCCATATACATTTTTGGAATATTTGTTCTTAATCTGTAAAAGATGCCATTGGTAGTTTAATAGGAACAGGTCTTTTACCTCTTTGGTTAAGAAAAACCTACAGCCAACATCATACTCAATGGGCAAAAATTGAAACCATTTCCCTTAAGATCAGGAACAAGACAGGGATGTCCGCTTTTACCACTCTGATTCAACGTAATATAGGAAGTCCTGTCACGCAATCAGACAAGAAGACATAAAAGGCATCCAAATTGGACAGGAGGAAGTAAAACTGTCATTATTCACAGATGACATGATATTATACATAGAAAACCCCAAAAATTCCACCAAAAAACTACTGCATCTAATAAGTGAATATGGCAAAGTAGCAGGATTACAAAATGAATATCCAGAAATGGGTGGCATTTTTATACTATACACCAATAATGGACTCTCGGAAAGAGAAACTGAAAAAACAATCCCGTTTACCGTTGAATCTGGTTTCGTTCTCGGGGTTCGCTCCCCTGTGCCTCTCCAACTGGGCGTCGCTGACACTGGGCATGATCAGTGTGCTGCGAGAGAAGCTGTGTGTTGCACACCCATGTTCACAGCAGCCCAGATGTGGAAGCCACCCACACGTCCACCAGGGGATGGGCGGGTTACGGAATGTGGGCTGGACACGCAGTGGAATATGACTCATCCTGACAAGGAAGGAAATCTCGTCACATGCCCACATGGCTGGACCTGGAGGACATCATCTGAAGTGAAGCAAGCCAGTCACAGGAGGACAGATACTGACTTCACTTACATGAGGTCCCTAGAGGTTCATATTCGCAGAGACAGAAAGTAGGTGGGGTGCCAAGGGCTGGGGCCCAGGAGGAGTGTGCGTTGGAAGTTGGAAGTTCTGGAAGTTGCTTACACAATAATGTGAATGTCCTTACCGCTACTGAACTGCACACCTGAATGGCTAAGGTGATACATTTTATGTATGTGATTCCTACCACAATTTTTAAAGCATGAGAGTGTGAAAGCCTGTGCATCTCATGAAGAACCAGCTCCAGCACAAGCCCTGCTCCTGCGAGTTCCCATGTGCTCCCTGCTTCTGCAGGTTCCCTGCTCCCTGCTCCTGTGTGCTCCCTGCTCCCTGCTCCCTGCTCCCATGTGCTCCCTGCTCCCTGCTCCCATGTGCTTCCTGCTCCCTGCTCCCATGTGCTTCCTGCTCCCTGTTCCCATGTGCTCCCTGCTTCTGCAGGTTCCCTGCTCCTTGCCTCTTGTGTGCTCCCTGCTCCCTGCTCCCTGTTCTCATGTGCTCCCTGCTCCCATGTGCTTCCTGCTCCCTGTTCCCATGTGCTCCCTGCTTCTGCAGGTTCCCTGCTCCCTGCCTCCTGTGTGCTCACTGCTCCCATGTGTTCCATGCTCCTGTGTGCTCCCTGCTCCTGCAGGCTCCCTGCTTCCTGTTCCCATGTGCTCCCTGCGCTCCCTGCCTTCCGCAGGCTCCTATGTGCTCCCTGCTCCTGCGAGCTCCCTGCTTCCTGTTCCCATGTGCTCCCTGCTCCTGCAAGCTCCCTGCTTCCTGTTCCCATGTGCTCCCTGCTCCCATGTGCTCCCCTGCACTCCAAGCTTCCGCAGGCTCCAAGGTACACCCCTGCTCCTGCAGGATACCTGCATCCTGTTCCCATGTACTACCTGCCTCCCGCAGGCTCCGATGCGCTCAATGCCACCAGCGGGACCCCTGCTCCTGTGTGATTCACGCTCCCTGACCCAGTTTACTCAAAGCCCTGAGAGCTACAAGATACCTGCTCCATGATGCTCCTGATCAAAATC